GTTGCGGGTGGGGTGGGGTGGGGTGTTTGCAAGAGCATGGAATTTGCCAATTCGTTTTTCAACATCAATTCTCCTTCCTAGAAATGAATTGGGATCCACCCCCCCCGTGTTTATCGGTACACGATACTGCGTTGCAGTTTACATACAACAATGCCCCATCGCCCCACCTATATGTGAATTCGCGCCATCACAACCCAGCCAGTATCGACCCCTGCAACACTATATGCGCGCACTCTCGTTTATCAATAATCATAGGTTTGCAAGAACCCCTTGCCAAAAAATTGACGAAGTGCACGCGCGCGCGTCGCCGCGCGCGCATGCCGAAATCCTTCAAATCCATAGGTTCCGGAAGGATGACGAAATCGAGTGTCCAAGAACATATCCCAGGCAAAAATGAACCCAAAGTTTCGCAACGCTGATTTTCAAAACACAAGAAAACATGCGTTTGTTTTTTTGCGAATTCGTTAGGAAAGCATTAATTGTCCAACCTGTTCAGGGAATGCTACCAAACGGGTTTCGCGTTTGCCCGTGTCGAAATCGTTCGGACGCCCCTGCGCGCGTGCCGACGCGCAAATCCTGTGCAGCAGACAAGACGAAGTGCGCGCGCACGTCGTCGCGCGCGCATGCCGAAATCCTTTACAAGCCTTCGGTCTCGTAGCGATGTCAGTACTGAATGTCCACAGTACTTTCAAAACCAAATGGTTTCGCAACATCGGTTTTCCAAAACAGATTGCGCGCGCGCTCCTGCGAATGTTTTCTTACAACAATCATCGGTTGTTCGGCATTGCCATGGGGTTCTGCTATACTGGCCTCTGGCGCCGCATGCCGACATCTTTCGCGCGCCCATGCGCGCTTGCTGGGGGGCACGGCCCGTGTCAAATAAAACCACGGGGGACACTCTCGCGCGTCGGCCGCGCGTGCATGTCGAACTCTTTCCAAAACATTCCATCACCGACGCGAGGGCGCGGTCATCATCGTCGGCGTGATCAGCATCCGCGCAGTCACTGGCCGTGCCGTCGTCGCTGTCAGCATCGTCACCAGCATCGTTTCTACCATCATGGTGTCTATTGTTGTCGATGTTGCCATGATGCCGCGCCCGCCCAAATTGCCTACTCGCACTGACGTGCCCGCCGGGATGTGCCCAGCGGTCATCGCCACCGCGGCTGCGTCGGTCGCGCCCAAGTAGCTGGTCGGTGCGCGCGCGCATGCGCGGGCTGTCGCGGCCGCAGATATGCACCAGCCAACACCGAGCACTCATCGCAATCGCCGCCGCATGGGGTTTGCAAACCAAGTCGCGGGTGGGTGGGGGGGATGTTTGCGCGAGCAGTGGAGTGGATGGACAACTTCAAGTTGAGCATGGATTCGTTGCGCCACTTCGGTCGCACCGCATATATTGCTACACGTTGTTTGGGTTTCGCGTTGGCGATTTTTGTATGTAGTGGTTGGTCAAGCCACGCTTACAGTTAGATGTGTTTATTGATATGTGCAAACATGCCCCTGCTAGTTGAGAACGGCCGTCGCCTCCGTTGTTTTCCAGGCGTTGCCGCCAAAGGGGTTTGCACATCGCGTTCTCGGGTGTCGCCGTCTTTGCAGGAGAGTCTCACACGCACGACGGTTTCAATCATTACGTTCCAGTGACGCATCATCTCCACGCACATTGTTTCCCGCGCGCATGCCACACACACACGCACACATTTACACGCGCACAAGCAGTTTTTACTCCGAGGCCGGCTGGTCCAACTCAGCGAGACGGATCGCACACCCGCCCTGAAAGGTTATCACCACCGAGTCTTGCCGATGGGAGACAGACCGCCGCACGGATGCGCGTGTAGAAAAGGTGGTCGCACGACAGACAGGCACATGCAGCGCCCAAGAAAACCGCTCAGGAGTTCCGTCGCCATTTTGGCTCAAAGCTCAAGCTAATCTGTTGAAAGTCACTCCAGGGATGGATCATGTGTGTTACCGCTGGTTGGCAAACTGCCTGCCTTGCGTACCACAGCTGAATCGCCCACGAGTCACACATTGCATCCCCTCGAATTCGACAGTGTGCGGACGCTCGCTGGCTGTACTTAACGAGGAGACATTGCTACGGATATTTGGTACCACGCCAGCAGGCGCCCTCGGAACTTTAGCCGCCACTGGGAAGTTTTTCGGACCAAATGGACTGCTGTACGGAAAGATCGGCAAGGCCCGCGGGCTTGCGTTCGGGGAGAGCTTGCGTTTCGCGCACGTGCTGGAAGCTGAGCCTTTGAGTTTTGGCTGGAATTCCATCAGTGGTCCGCAGCCATGGCATGAGGCTGGAACCACACAGTCGCTTCTCACCGGAGATGACGGATGGTGTACGGAATTCGGCGATAATGATGTTCTTGTTGGTCGGTGTTGTTGGGGGGTAGAAGTGCTGAAATTGGACGGGCTCTTGGCGATTGGCGTTGCTTGCGAGAGTTTCCCCACGAATTGCTTTGTTGGATCGCCTATGTCTGGCGAGCTGTCGTATGGATGGGAACTGAGACCGCGTGGTGCAGAAAAGTTGGTTGCTGTTAGCAGTGGAGGTCGGTTTTGCTTGCTTGAACCTCAACGAACTGATGTCGACCTGCGTCCCAGCGAAGGGAGACGCGTCCTCCTGACGTTCCATTTTAGCCTCGACCGCGCCTTGTTTGAGCTGCATGCCCGCATCCAGGATGCTCCTGCAAGACCTTGGCGTTGGACGCTGCTGAGCTCTGTGCGACTCGGCGGACACCAAGGGGAGTGGCCTCCGGCGGACTTGCGAATGAGGCCGGCAGCGTCAGTGGACATTGGGGCGACGGTCCGCGCATTTGTTGCAAACGGGGTTCGCTAGGCTGCGCCATCTCGCTTTGCGGCGATCGAAACAACGGCCGGCGGCGGCTCCTGCGCCTGCGCCAGGGCGGCTGAGCACTGGCGCGTGCAGCTCGGAGAGGGGGGCACCCGCACGACATACAATTGTGGCGGTAACGGCCTCGCGCGAGGCGACGAGGCGGAGTAAGTAGAAGCATTAACGCGCGGTCGCGGCTGGGCCCTCAAGAATCGCTTGGGATTCGAAACGCCTACCGACATCAGCCATCCGGGCGTGGATAGCAGGGAGGAGACACGCCGGCCGAGGGGCCTGCCCAAGCGGCGGCATGAGCAGCGTAGGTATATCATCATCCTATCTGGACGTGGATGGCGGGCAGGAAACATGCCCATGACACACATACACACACACACACACACACACACACGCATGCACACACCGAACATGTATTAATTTCATGTGTAGCAATATGCACACTCGTGCATCCGTACTTGTATATGCACGTCCATGCACGTTGATTCATGTGTACGGTGTACTCATTCGTACACACACAAACAGTTCCACCACCAAGATGCTCCGCATGCACAGGGTTCAATACACACACAGCTCTCTGCGAACTAAGGGGTCACACATAGGGTTTCATGCACACAGGATGCAATACACTGAACAAACATAGGGCTCCACATACGACTCAGGGTTTCACACCCGAGTACCGCTCCAGGCGTGGGGGTGAGACACTGGCGTGGCGGCCATTGCGTACAGCGCCCAGAAAGAGTTAAGGAGGAAGAGTGTAGCCTGTGCAGCGTGCATCTTGATCCCTCGACCTTTGCTATGTGTGTAAAGTTGGAGACGGGGGTCAGTAATTCCAGGCACGCACATACATGTGCAAATACAGCTATACGTATATGTACGAATACCTATATATTTATATATAATGTGTATATATATTATGTATATATATATGTATATATATATCTCTATATATATGTATACGTGTACATGCATGTAGACAGGGAGAGAGAGAGAGAGAGAGAGGGAGAGAGAGAGAGACGCACACAACGTGTAGATGTTGCCTTTCGGGCTGAGCTCCACACAGAGTTTCCACATGCTGGCACACACACACACGCACACACACACACACACACACACACACACACACACACACACACGCACGCGCACACGCACACGCACACCTAGATTTCGATAAACATGGGTTCAACATGCAGAGTTCCACGCCCATGGCTCTACGCCAATATTTTTCCAGACGCGGATTTCTACACGTCGGGTTCCACGCACAAAAGGCTTCACACACAAACACACACACACGCATATAGCTCAACGCACATGGGAGTCCACACGCACAAGCACACATACACACACGCACGCACACAAACACACACACACACACACACACACGCGCACTCACATATAGGGCTTCATACACATAAGGCATCGGGCATAGGGCTCCACACATAGATGTCTCCACACACGTAGGGTTCCGCACACATGCACACATCGGATTCCTCGTGTATGTTCGCGTCTGTCTATCTGTTTGGGGTCCACACGCCATCACGTTAGCGTGTGCTGTCTGCGTATACTTACGTGTGTGTAGCACGTGAATGCGTGCGTTTGCGTGTGTCTGTGGGTGCACATGTGTTATGCTTGCAAGTGTGTGCGCGTGCGTGTGCGTGTGCGCGCGTGTACGTGTGCGTGTGCTTTTGAGTGTGGTTGTGTATGCGTGCGTGCGTCCGTGCGTGCATGTGTGCGTTGTTTATGGATGCGTACGCGCGTATATCGGCGTCTGTGCGCGCGACAAAGCGTGAGTGTACGTGTGTGCGCGTGTGTGTCCGTATGTGTTTATGTGGGGCGTGCTTGTATGAACGTGCTGCTGTCCATCTGTGCGTGCAGTTGCGTATTTGTCCGTAGTCTCAGGCTCCATGGCGGGGTCCGAGCTTTGTGCTGTAGGCAGTATGACTGATGAAGTCAGGGGCCCGCCTCCTTGCGCCCCACTGGCACAGCGTGAAGGGCTTGCGACGCGGCCTGCGGCGGAGGGCTCCAGATACGCCCAGTGGCCACATCCTGTTCGTCACAGGATTGTTTGGCATCGTGAGGATACCAGCGGGCTTTTTGTCCTCGAAGACCTGGAACACCACGAAGCCAAGAGGGCTCTGCGCAATAAATCATAATAAGCATGCGGAGTCCTAGGGTCTTTTTGACATGGACAGTCCACCAGAGGTCTTGTTCGGATGTTGTTGCGAAGGTCGGGATCTGGCTTTCGATTGCGCTCTTAGTTGCGCTTTCGTTTCTTTGGCCAGAGTTTTTGATGCGGTCTGAGGCACTTGCTGGGCAGTCTGCAGCATTGCACCCCGAAGATATCATTGATATCATGACTGTGTCAGGCGGCGGGTTGACTGTAGCATTCTCAAAGCGGACAGATCACTCTCAGATGCCTGGCTACGTGTCTGTGAAAGTTTCAGGGCCTGCTGGTACTGCAGCGTTGTATCCTCGCCGCCAGTTGTTTGCGATCGAGTTCGATGACGGCGTTCGGTCGTCTTCTGAAGATTGCACACCGGATCGTACCAATATTCTTTTCCATAATACGACGTCCATTGCGTTTCTTTTGATTTGTGAGTTGCTTGGCGCGTCGTTGCATGTTGAGTGGTCGTGCCACTTGCAGAGTGCCAGGGTTGCCCGTGTTTCTATCCAAATCTTTGCACCGAATCTTTCGCGAACTGTTCGCGTCATTGATATGCTGACCGTCGGACGTGAAGTTGTTGAAGACGATAACGCGCATATCCCTGGCACTGTGCAGGGATTGCCCATTGTGTTTCGTCGGCAATTGGTTTTCTTCGGCATTGAGCATCCCATGTCGGTGGTGATGCTGAACGCAAGCATGGGGGTGGTGAGTATGCCGCTGTATGGGCAACAGTTTGGACAGGAGCCCATGCGCGTCACCGCGGCTTTTGGGGCATATCGTTCGGCGCAGCTCCGCCGCGACTTCCAAGAGTACATCGAAGAGTCACGCGCGGTGGCCTGGCGCCAGTGGCTGCACTTCAACAGCTGGTACACCCTGAAACGGCCTGACCCCTTCGAGATAACCACGCTCAGATCTGGGGAGGACATGAACGTGACGAACGTCATCCAGGTAGCCCGCGTGTACTCCGACCAGCTGGCCCGTAGCCCGCACCACCTTGGCTTTCGGGGCGTACTGCTCGACGACGGCTGGGACGACTGCAGGAGGCTGTGGAAAATGCACGACGGGTTTCCTGAGAACCTGCAGCAGGTGACTCGTGGGCTCGAGGCCATGGGCCTGGGCGGCCTCGGAGTCTGGCTCTCACCATGGGGCGGGTATGGGTTCCCAAGGGAGCTGCGGCTGGAGTACGGGTACAAAGAAGGCCTGGAGACGAACTCGCGTGGATTCAGCCTTGCGGGCCCGAAGTACAGCGGGCGCTTCTTTGATATCTGTGCCAGCTTCATCCGGGACCACGGAGTCAGTTTCTTCAAGTTCGATGGCATCGCAGGTGGCCAAGTCACATCGGGCGCGCCCTCCGAGTTCGCTGCCGACGTCCTTGGCTTGCTTCGCCTCGTGCAAAGGCTGCGCAGCGTGCGTCCCGACCTGTTCATCAGCCTGACTGTCGGAACATGGCCCTCCCCTTACTTCTTGCACTTTGCGGACGCCGTGTGGCGGGGCGCGCACGACACGGCCAGGTGGGGTGCTGGCCGGGGCAAGCACCAGTGGATCACGTACCGGGATATGATTGTCCACGAGTTGGTCTCATTGAGGTCTCCTTTGTACCCCCTGAGCTCCCTCATGCTCCATGGTGTCGTCATGGGGGACTCGGACCCGTGGTGCCGCAACGTGTCGCTGGAGCCTGGCCTCCCAGCGCATTTGGGGCTCTGGGACTTTAGTTGCGAGGTCTGGTCCTTCTTCGCGACCGGTGCCAACATTCGAAGAATCACAACCAGCATGAACATAAATTTCTGGAGGTCCGCGTGGACTTCTTGGACCACCGCTGGACCCCCATCCTTGGCGCGCGGAGCGCACCAGGGTCGGCGCCGGAGGCGCCCCCAGCGGAGCCGAGCGCCGATCGAAGAGATCCGCGCGGACCTCCGAAAGTTTATGCCCATGTCGTGTTCTCTTCTTCCGCGCATGCAGGAGCTCTACCTTACGCCGCGGCTGATGAGCGGGGGCATGTGGGACGTCGTCCTCGCCGCGGCCTCCTGGGCCACCTCAGCCGCGGCCGCGCTGCGGGACTCGCACTGGGTCGGAGGGAGCCCGCGGCAGGGGCACGTCTACGGGTACGCGGGTTTCGACACGGGCACCAGCCAGGGTGCCGTGATGCTGCGCAACCCAGCTCGGGAGCGGCGAAGGAAGGGGGTGAGGACTTAGGGGTGGGTGTGGGTATCGTGGCCGCGGCCGTTGGAACTACCAGATCCCCTGGCTCAGTATTATGATTTTCCGTTCTTTGATATTGCAAAGGCCTTACGGCCAGTTCCGCCGACCCTGGAAAGGATGTCTTGGAGAAGGGGGAGGAGGAGGAGGAGGAGGAGGAGGAGGAGGAGGAGGAGGATGAGGACGACGACGACGACGACGAGGAACCGGAGTAGGAAGAGGAGTTGGAGGTTGAGGAGGAGGAGGAGGAGGAGGAGGAGGAGGAGGACGCGGAGAAGAAGGAGGACCAGGAGGATGAAGAGAACGAGGGAAAGAGGAGGACGGTGGGTGCCGTCCGGTCCCGCTCGTGATCTTCGGACGCTTTCCCTTGATTCGGTCTCCCCCTCCTCCTTTTCCTCTTTCTCCATCTTCTGTTTCTCGTTCTCGTTATGCTGCTCCTCCTCCTCCTCCTCCTCCTCCTCCTCCTCCTCCTCCTCCTCGGTTCGTGAGCCATTCTTAGTCGAGTTTCGTCGACTCTCGATCTCTGCAGGTTTTTCTCCGCTTTAGGCCTCCAGGATCTGGTTCAGGAGACGGTGTGTCAAAGACGGACTTGTGATTGAATAGTTGGTTCCTGGAATGGTGTCGGGACCTTCGGCCTCGTCTTTGACGCTTCTGGGTGCCTCTGGGGATCCTCTTGGGGGGCTCTTGGGGGCCTCTTGGGGCCTCCTAGGGGCTTCTAGGGGCCTCTTGGGACCTCTTGGGGGCCTCTTGGGAGCCTCTTGGGGCCTCCTGGGGGGCCTCTCGGGGCCGAGGGCTCGAATTGTCCGTTCGAATCCCCTGTCCCCTGTCTGGGCCCCCTCTTGGAGCCGTTTCGGCGGGCTCTTGGGTTGTCTTGGAGGCCTCTTGAGCCGTCTTGGGGCCCTCTTGGGCCGTCGTGGGGCCCTCTTGGAGGCCTCCTGTGGCGATCTTGGGGGCCTCTTGGGCCTTCTTGGTGCATTGGGAAGCCGAAAAGGCCAGAACGGCCAAATCCTCAATAAAAACGAAGGGAAATCTATGACGTGTGCATCTTGGTGCACTTCTGGGAGTGCTCTTGGAGGCCTCTTGGGCCGTCTTGGATGCTTCTTGGGCCGTCTGGAGGGCTTCTTGGGCGTCGGGGAGCGATCTTTCAGGCCTCCCTGGGATTATCACGGACCTGAATTGGCGAAAGAGGGCCAAACTTCTTTGAAGGCGACCCGAAAACGGAAGGGAGGGGTCGTATTCTGACCCGGGCCTTCCCCTCCAGGACCCTCCCCCAGGACCCCTCCCCCCCCCGGCGGGGAAGGGATCAAAGGGAAGGGGTTTCCCTTCGACTCGAGTAGGACTTCGATTATGGCCTGACTCGGTCCACCTCGAGGTGACGAGCTTGGCAAGGCAAAAAGGGTTTTGGGAGGGTTTCCGAGAATGGAAAAAACAAATCGAATGAACGCTCATCTCCCAGGGTCACTCCAGGACGACGGGCCCAGCACTTCTCCTTCACACATGCCGACAAGGTCGGCGGCTGCGGCGAATCACCGCCGCCACCTGCCTCTTTGGAGGCGCCGATGTGGCCGAAAGTTGGGCTAGAGCGGTCGAGCCATGTGTTCCCCCAGCAGTCGTGGAAACCTTTTCGGGGAACACGTGAGGAGGAGGAGGAGAGTGAGGAGGATAAGGGAAAAGGAGCAGGTGGAGGAGGACGAGGACGAGTGTAAACCCAAGAGTCATCAACGATGTTGGAATGAACCCTCCAAGCGCCATCTTCATAGGCCCCATACGCCGGTTCATTTCCATTGAGGGAACTGCCTCGTTGGGAGACAACCGTTTGAAGACCCTGAGGCATGCAAAAACATAGTTCCCGGGATTCCAACCCCACGGATCAACCTGATTGTTGCGTCTTGACGATCCTGAAGCATGCCAGAACAGCATTCCTGGGACTTCAGCTCCGCGAGCCAACGTAATTTCTGCACCGCGAAATCATGGATCCTTTCAAAACACCTTTTCTGGTATTTTGACCATGGGAAATCAGTGAAATTCTTACAAATTATCAACGAATGCGCGCGGCGCTAAGGCGAGAGCCACATGTTGAAAAAGAACCGTCCTCAACCCGTGAAACTCTTTGCAAACTTTTGCATGCGCGCGGCGCTAAGACGAGGGCCACATTTTGAAAACGTCCCGCCATCCATTTGTGAGACTCTTGCGCTTTTGTTGAACGAATGTGCTCGGCGATAAGGCGGAAGCCACACTTTGAAAACATCTCGCCCTCAATCCGTGAAACTCTTGCATACGTTTAAAACGAATGTACGCGGCGCTAAGGCGGGAACCACATTTTGAAAACCACTCGCTCTCAATCCGTGAAACTCCTCAAATGTTTAAAACGAATGTGCGCGGCGCTAGAGCGAGAGCCACATTTTGAAAACGACCTTCCCGCCATCTGTGAAGCTGTTGCCATTGTTACAGCCTCAGGGTCAGAAATGGTGAGGAATTATCAGGCGAAGCCCCCGGCCCGCCCTAAAAAATGGCCTCGGGGTGTGACAGGGAGAAGTTGCTTATAAGGAAAGGGAATGGAGGAGGAGGAGGAGGAGGAGGGGGAGGAAAAGAAGAAGAAGAAGGAGGAGGACGCCCCTTGGAAGCCTCTTGGGGCAACTCTTGGGGTCTCCTGGGAGCTTCCTGGGGGCCTCTTGGGGGCTGCTCGGGGGCCTCCCTGTGCCTCTTGGGAGCCTTTGGGGGCTTGTTCGGCGCCGCTTTGGCCAGCTCAGGGCGTTCCTGGCCCGTCTGACGCCGTCGGAAGCCGTTTTGGATGCCTCTCTGAACCGACTTGGGGCCCTCTTGGGACGCTTCAGGGCCGTCTTGGAGGCCATCTTGGGCGTCTTGGATGCCCCTTGGGCCGTCGCGGGGCCCTCCAGGGGCAGTCTCGGAGGCTTCATGGGCCGTCATGGGGTCATCTTGGAGGCCTCTTGGGGGCTCTTGGGGCGTCTTGGGCCGTCGGAAGGCAGAAGAAAAGCAACTGCCCAAGTCCTTGAAAATCCCATGGCAATTCAACGATATTGGCCTCTTCGGGCCCTCCTTCGGGACCTCTTGCAGGCCTCTTGCGACATCTTGGGGGCCCACTGGGGGCCTCTTGGGCCGTTGGAGGCTTCGTGGGCGGACTTGAAGGCATCTTGGGCCCTCTTGGGCCGTCTAGGACGCGATTCCCGGCCCCTCTCTCTTCGGCGCACCCGACCAGCGGCCGTGCCGCAGAGTTTCGCGCTCTCGTCTGCCCAGCACCTCGAGGCGGGCCACGCAGCGAGCGGCAGGGGCGCAGCGGCGGCGGCGGCCGCGCCGCTGCGTTGCGAAGGGCGCCTCGTGTGGGGCGCGCCGAACCCGGAGTTCACAGTCCGAGGCATGGATTTCGACATGTCCGCCGCCTCGGGAAGCGATGCCCTCGGGCCCCCGAGGGGCAGCTGATGCGGAGAGGTTCGGGCACCCCGGGGCCCAACGAGAATCCATCCTCCGTTGATATCGGTTCCCACAGACCCGCGATGCCGCGGTTGCTTCACAACGTGGGCCCGCGGGGGTCTCCACCCCTCTGGGCCGGCGTTTCGTGCTGAGCTGCTCGTGGACGGCCCTGGGGCCTGACAGGGGACCCCAGATACGGAAAACAGCCAGAAAATTGCACAAGAAGCTGAGAAAAGAGGTGGAGATGTGTTCGCGGCTCGAGAGGGTCTGGAGACTTGTGCAAATCCCAGCCTCGCGCGCAGGGAGGGCGCCGCCCCGGGCTCTGCGGCCCGAGGAGGCGGCCGCGGCGGGGGGTTACTGGCACGTGGCGCTCGCCCCGCTGCAGGTGGCCGTGTACGAGGTCTCCTGTGACCCGCCGCCCAGCGTGGGCTGATGCCTGTCCGTGGGCAGGACTGCCCTCTTGGGAAGGAAAGCGCACCTCCACCCCCACCTGCCCCCCCTCCCATTCGGCATCCTGCCCGAATCGCGCAAGGCAAGGTTCCCAGCTATGCAGGGCCACCCAAGACGGTCCTAACTGCTGGCTGGGAGCGCGAGCGAGAGGTGGCTACAGCACAGGCGTCGGGCAGCCGTGGCTCACATTCATCGGCTGATTGACGCCTCACTCTCCTCCCTCCGTCTCTCTTTGCTGGAACGCTGTGCTGCGCAAATGCTCCAAATGCTCCCATTCGGCCTCCACTGCACCGACCACTTCAACCCCTGAGGCCTCGGCCTAGCAGTAAAACGAAAGACCTGCTGAAATCACGAGCCCATCTGGCCCCCCTCCCCCCTCCAGGGCTGGGCCAGAGAGCAGTGGCTCCCGATTGTGGCGACGTTTCGCACAAATGTCGCAAAGAGTACACGTACCCCACCCCACCCTGGCCCTCCCCCACTCTTGGGAAGGTGTGCTGGGTTGGGGTGGAGGGGCTCTTTTGTCCCCTGCCCTCGCAGCCTCGCGTCGTGCAACAAGTCACGACGGGTGGTCGTCGGCAGGTTTCGGTGTCCGGGGGGCCCCATGACAGGCCACGGGACCGTCAACAAAATAACCGATGAAAAGCCGGACCTCAGGAAGGAGATTCGACCTCTGGGAAGCCACCTGGGCAAGTAGTTACGACGTCGGAGGTCTGGGTGCACGTAAGAGTAACCCCTCGCCGGAGTCAACCTTGCTGCGGGCCCACTGGCGGTGCCTCTTCTGAGTGCGACTCGACAGCAGCGGTTTACGCGCTTGGGTTTAATCCCCCTCCACGCGGCCCCCTGCAAAGGTCACTGCTGCCGAAGGTCACTCTTTGCACTGCAGAGCAACATGGTGATGGCGTGACCTTGCGTTGCTCTTGGGTCAAGCCCCCTCTCTGGTCCGCCACTTCCTCATGTAGGTTGTAGCGGCATCATGCCGTACCCCCTGGCTCGAGTTCCCATTCTGGTCTAAGACTAAAGCGTCTCCTGCTACAAGTGCCGGTGACAATCTGGGAGCGTGCAAAGCGCAGATATGGCGATCGGGAAAGCGTTGCTGGCGGTCGGGTTATGCACGGCGGAAGCTTTGTCTGATGAGGATGTAGGCTACCATCGGCTCTTTGAGACAGCGAACGACGAATTCGACAATCGTTGTGCACCGTCCATGGGAAAGGAAATGCCAAAGTACCTCCAGGGCGGTAGTTTCGTCATTGGCAGCGTTGGGCAGCAAGAGATGGGTGATCGACATTTTGTTGGGTACTTGGATGCATTCGGGAAGTACACGCGGTACACGGTTGAAGACGGGCAGGTCTGCGCTACATACCGTATGATGCGCACCGGTTTCTACAACAATTCGGTGGAAGCGGGTACGATCGCTTCTGGATTGCTTTTCTACCCAGTTGTTTGCGGCAAGTCCCGCCACTGTGCCAGTCCAGCGCTTTTGAAGGCGATTTTCCGAGGAGCGAGCAGGAAGTCGTAAGGCTTGACACCTCGGGCCCCAAGGGTTGGGAAAGCCGTGAACTATGGCACGTTTTTCCGCGTGGTGTTGGTGTTCGTCGTCGTTTTCCCCCCTTCCTCGTCTTCCCCCCCCCTCTCTTGGAGGCCTCTCGAGGGCATCTTGGTGGTATCTCAGGAGCTTTTGGACGCTCCTTGGGCCGTCCGAGGGCGCTCTGGAACGGCCTGGCGTACTCGGAGTCAGTCGTCGGGGCCTCTCTGGGTCGCATTTGGGGCTTATTTGGACCCTGAAGGGTAGTATTGATGGTGTCATTTTGGGCATCAGTGGGGACCTCTCTGGTCGTCTTGAAGCCCAGTTGGCCTTCTCTTGGGCCACAATGAAGCCCTTCGACGCAAAGCCTTCTTTGGCTGTCGGAAGTCCGAAAACAATAAAAAGAAGAAACCCTTGCCACCATTCAGGAAAATCATTGGCGTTGGCCTCTTGAAGCCCTCTTTGGCAGTCTTGGGAGCCTCGTGGGATGCATCGAGGCTGTTGTGTGCCGCCTTGAAGCCATCTCAGACCGTCTTGGAGGACTCCTGGGCCCTTTCATCGGCCGTCTGGAAAACCATCTTCGACATATTCGACAGGCGGGGTGAGGCGGCGCACGCGACGAGGTGCCAGGAGAGGGGTGGAGAGGCTTCATGGAAATACAGAGCCCCTACCATACACCGTTTTTCTACCTCGCCTCAACGTGCCAGGGGGCACGGAGTCGGATGAAACAGAACCTCCGAGGCAGTGCCCTCTGTGGGATCCAATTTGCGACCTACATTCCCCAAACGATAACACGTTCGTGAACACCTTCATGCACGATGGGCAACTGCTATCGGTTACCGATTCAGTTTGGATGCTGACTGTGGACCCCGTGAGTTTGAATGTCACAGGAAAGCAAAAGTGGAACGACAGCGGAATCCAAGACAAATTCAGCATCCCAGCAGCCGGCTCTGCACACCCTGAGTGGAACAAGAAGTATAGCGAAACCATCGATTTTGTTGGGAACGAGAACCCTTTGACAGGAGCCACCGATATTGTCATTTACGGTATGTCGGACGTTCACAAGGACTCACGTAAGAAGTACGGAGCGACTGCGCCAATGAAGTCCACCCCGTACATGCACAGTTTCGGCATCACCAACAATTATACGATTCTCCCTCGCATGCCTGTCAAGTTCAGCCTTCCGCTGAGCAAGGGTAAGTCAATGTCTGAGTCTTTCAGCGACCTCCCTCTGCCAGAACCGTCTGAGGACAACGCTTTCTGGCTTGTGCCACTGGACGGAGGAGATGTCATCAAGAAGTTCTTGCCGGTCGACGAGAAGTTGTATTCTTCGCGCTTCGCGTACTCCCACCGGTCCGCTCAGAAACGTTGCCCAGGGAGTTGCCCTGAAAAGAGACGGAGAGACATATCGTGAAGTACAGCGGGCAACCAGGATGAGCAGAGAGATCTCTTGGAGTAATGGGGTGGCCTTGGAGGGCCTCTTCGGGCCATCCCTGTCGGAGGGGGGAGATTCGACACCAATACCACCAGGGGGCCCACCTCCGGCGAGGAGGTCCCCGATGCCTCCCCGAGCTGGAGGCTTGGAATGTCTCGAGCGAGAGGGGGGGACCACACCACCAGGGAGTTCCCCCTTGCCTCCTCGCGTCTCCTCGCCATGTTGGTGTTGGTGTCGCCTTTCCTTGTTCCTACACTGGGGCCCGCGAGGAGGAGGAGGAGGAGGAGGAGGCAAACCGCCTCTTGGGGCCCCCGTGGGAAGCTCTTGGGGCGCTGTTGGGTGCTCTTGGGGCTTGGGACCCTCTTTGGGCTCTCAGGGCCTCCTCGGGAGCCCTGGAGGGCCTCTTGAGGCATTCCTTGGGGGCTTTCGATTAAAAGGGAGGGGTCCTCGATTGGCCTTGTCCCCATGAAACCATCAAAATCGCCGTCTTCGGCGCTCTTGGCCGCGCTTGGGGCCGTCTGGGAGGGCTCTTGAGCCCCTCTTGGGCCTCGTTAGGGCCATCTTGTTTCCACCTGGAGGCTTCAAAAGTGCATCGGAAGCGAAAAAGCGATATAGCATCAATCATTTAGGTTCTCCAGGTTGTTGAAGGATGTTGGCCTCTTGGGGGGTCCTGCGGGGGCTCTGGAACCACTTGGATCCGTCTTGTGGCTCCCGTGGGGCCTCTTGGACGTATGTCGGAAGCTTTCTTGGATCATCTTCGGCTATCTTGAGCCATATTGGAGGCCATCATGGAGCATCGGACGTCCTCTTGGATCCATCTTGGGCCATCGTGGGCGCCCTGACACTCCGCGAACCCTTACCCTCATGAAGGGGGTGGTAAACCTCCCCAGATGGAAAAGGCTGTTTGGGAAGAGGAAGGCAAGAACTCGTTAGACCAGCTTAGCCCAACGGGCTGGTGGGATTACACGCACACCGTAAATTCTTTCGAGGTGCCGGAGAAGAGTGAAGTCGTCATCGATTTGGCGACCACCGCGTTCAACGTGTTCTCGGCAGATTTGAGTACGAAGGACGAACTGAACAAGTCTATGCGAGACGCCTGCTACAAACACGATGTTCCGTGTATCAACATCGTGAAGCGCTTTCACATTCCCTTGGGTAGCGGGGACATCCGCATTGAGGTTATCAGCGACCCCACCGCGAAAACAGATTTCACCAAGATGAATTACAACTACCATGGGGAGAAGCATTGTTTCTATTGGGGTGTAGAGTGGTTTGGGGACAAGAAGTCCAAGGCTTACATGTCGATTGTAAAGTACGAGTTGTGTGAGGGCCAGGATATTGTTGCCACGAAGCGGAGCTGGCACAAGGATAATTGGTATCCGTCGGAGGCGATCATGATCAACAATCCTGACCCCAATGCAGCAGAGGACGACGGAGTCCTCACTTTTATTGCTCTCGAAGGTGCGTCTGAGCAAACCTATTTCATCACCCTGAACGCATCAACCATGGAAGAGATATCGATGGCTGGCCCTTATGCTCCAGTTGCCTTCACAACGCATGCTCAGTGGTTCCAGAACATGGTGCCGCCCCGCTTATCCGAGGCCATTGTCGTTTGAAACCACTACCCACTCGTTCAGCGTGCTCAAGACGCTCAGCTTTTTTAAATATATGTTTGCTGCGATTGCCCGCTCAGTTTGTTTTGTCACGCGCCAGCTCTGCTTTTCCCTGGCACCCCCCCGCCATCCAGAGCATTCGGGAACAGATTCTGGTTCCCCTGGCGCAGAACTGATGGTTATTAAGCTACGCTCGCAAGTTGCAATCGGAGCATGTTGTAGCGGGACCATAGCTGTGGAGGCCTCACCTCGTAGACCTACGCTGCGTGGAAAGAGTTGCAGAGCTAGACGACAACGGATCGATCCTCCCCCCAGCCTCCCCTTTCTTGTTGTTGGCACACTTTTTGCCGGCAGGGGGGGCCCTCGTCTTATCCGCACAGGGCCGTGTTCTGGCTGGGGTGCCCAGCGGCGTGCTCTTGTTGAACACGCACCAGCCTTTCAGACATAAACGGAAGAGTCACACGCCAACGGGCTACCACTGGCAGCGTGTCACTGATGTTCCTTCTCCCTCCGAGAACTCGCAGGCCACCCCCCGGGGTGCGAGAGTGCCCGCGCTGCGCGCCTCGCGGTCAGGGTCGGAGAGGCGCTCTCTTCTCCCAGGGGGGCGGCGCCTGAGCCCGAGCCCGAGCCCGGCCCCGAGCCCGAGCCCGAGCCCGAACCCGAGCCCGAGCCTTGGCCCAAGCCCGAGCCCGAGCCCGAGCACGAGCCCGGGCTCGAGCTCGCTGCGCGCGGCGAAGGCGCCTGGAGGGCTGGGAAGGTGCTCCTCTCCAGGGGCCGGAGCGGCAGGGAGGCGATGCCGCGCCTCGCGCGGCGAGGGGGATCCCCGCCAGAACGGGCTGTGGGCGGGTGCACCCTCACGGCCCAGAGCCTCCCTCCTCCCTCCTGCGTCGACCTTGCGGGAGGAAGAGCCTCCCTCCTCCCTCCTCCCAAGGGGCGATCCTGTACGGTTCGCTTCCTGTTTCACCCGCCGTCTCCCAAACGAGTTGATAACCCTCCGCAGGTGGTGTCTCTCCAGATGGTGAGGCGCGCCAGCTGCATTGCATGCTCGATGGTTGCATTCTCTTTCAGAGCTTCTCCAGGCCGACTGCATTGGTTCCTCATCGCCGCATTGCCGCTGTTACAGTTGAGCCCCCCTTCCCTGGTTCTCTGGGGTAAGAACCGTTCTGCAAGACGGCGCGCAGACTCCTGCAATGCCGAGTCCGACCGACCGACCGACCAAGAGCTACTTGAGCCTCTGGGTCCAGCGGAGCAGGAGCAGGAGGAGCAGCAGTAGGAGGGGCAACAAGACCAGAAGGAGGAGGAGGAGGAGGAGGAGGAGGAGGGGTGGGAGGAGGAGGAGAGGGGGGCAGCCACAAGGAGATGACGAAGACGACGACTTTCAAACCCGCTCAAGATCGCTCCCAGGACTCCTCTCAGAACCCTGCTGGTCAGCTGCTCTCGCCGCTTCGAGCCGTGGCGAGACGAGAAAGTCCGAGCGCGATTCTAGAGCTTCGAAGACGACGACACAAAGGCCGACGAGAACGAAGGGCGACGACGACAGGCGACGACGACGGGCGACGACGACGGCAAGTGGCCTGGGCTGCTCTGGCCGGCCGCGTGTTCTGGCCAGGCTTGCCCTGCCTGCGGAGTTGCCCCCCGACGGCCCGCAAGGCGTCGACCACTAGGGGCGACGACGACGACGACGACGACGACGGGCGACGACGACGGGCGACGCCGACGACTCCGACGCCGACGACGACAACGACGACGCCGACGCCGACGACGAGTGGCCTCGGCTGCTCGCCCCGCCGCCCGTCGCACCCGCAGGTTCTCCCTGCCCACGGAGCTGCCCCCCAACGACGAGTACCGAAGGCCGCCGGCGCCGACGCCCACTCTCCGCCGAGCTGCTCCGTCGCCGTCTCGTCGTCACCGTCGTCGTCAACGTCGTCGCTGTCGTCGTCGTTGCCGTCGTCGTTGCTGCGCCGCCGTCGTCGTCGCCGTCTCCGTCGCCGTCGTCGTCGCCGTCGTCGTGTTTGTGGCCGTTGCCGTCGTCGTTGTTGCCGTCGTCGTCGTCGTCGTCGTCGTCGCCGTCGCCGTCGCCGTCGCCGTCGCCGTCGCCGTCGCCGTCGCCGTCGCCGTCGCCGTCGCCGTCGTCGTGTTTGTGGCCGTTGCCGTTGCCGTCGTCGTCGTCGTGGTTGTCGTCGTCTTCGTCGTCATCGTCTTCGTGGTCGTCGTCGTCGTCGCCGCCGCCGTTGTCGTCGTCGTCCTGGTCATCGTCGTCTTGGAGGTGCTGGGGGCATCTCTGGAGGGCGCTCGCGCCACGGACGGGGCGCGCCCCGAGGCTGTCATCCAGCCAAGGGTGCTCGCGGTTCGGTCGGCTCAGCTGCGTCGCAGTTTGTTGCGTTCGGTCGATTCGGTTCGGCCGGTGATTGTGTCGTTGCCGCGTCGTGGCGCCCTCCTAGGTGGCTTGCGGCCTGCCGATTTCGGTAGGTTTCGGTTTCGGTGTCGGTTTCGGTTTGCGCGGTTACCGTCGCCGTGCACGGCCTTGGATCCTTAGGAGCTGAGTCAAAGGGCCGATTTAGAGCGGAAAAGTGGCTCGTCTTCTTCGAAGTACGAGGAATTGCTCATAACCATAATCATTCGACTGTCCACGCGGATTCCTTGAATCGGCGCTTGGCCCCCCTGGCGGCGCGGGCGGCGCGTCCGGCACCGCCGCCCCTGGCGCGTTCCGCGCGCCAGGTGAGTGGGATTCGGCGCCGATCCAAGAAAACTGCGCCGACATCCGAAGGTACATGTCTACGCAATGTTTGTTGTTCCTCTGCTCCTGTCCTGCCAGCTTGGGAGTTTTCGGCGCCAATCCAAGAGATCTGCGCCGACCTCCGAAGGTCAGTGTCTACGCAGTCTCTGCCGTGCTTCTGTCCTTCGTCCTCTGTCAGAGGAGAACGAGTGGAGGCAACGGCAGTCGGACTTCGGGCCTTCGGGGGGGGGGAGCCTCGTCGCCACGGCTGGACGCAGCTCGGACACGTGCGTTTGGACCCCAGGAGGGGTCCAGGGACCGATTTTGAGTTGCCGTTGTCTCAGCTCGTCCTACCCTGCCCCGATTCGTCACTCGTCCTCCGTTGGTCGTCGTCTGCCGTGCGTCGGTCGTCCCTCTCCGACGGACGCCCCTCGCCATGGAGGCCCCCCGCCCCCTTCCCCCAGGCTCGAGCTCGCTCGCCTCGAGACCGCGATCATGAGCGGGATCACGAGGACCAAGACGGAGGCGCAATGCGGCGGGTTCGGTTGTGTGGGTGGGTGGGTGTTGCGAGGGCGCGGTCTGGCCGTCCTTCCGCTAGGGTACCGCCTTCCAGTGTCATTCCGTTGTGTGCATTCCGATGGGTTCCCCGTTCGAGCCAGCGCCGAAGACGCTATTTGAAGACGCTATTCCCTGTGAAGACGCGTCCCAGTGAAGACGCTATTCCAGGTGAAGACGCTATTCCCGGTGAAGACGCTATTCTTTTTGAAGGTGAAGACGCTATTCATGGTGAAGACGCTAGATCCCCGGTGAAGACGCTATTCCCGGTGAAGACGCTATTGTGGTGAAGACGCTATTCCGGGTGAAGACGCTATTCCGGGTGAAGAGGCTATATTTGTGAACACGCTATTTTGGGTGAAGACGCTATTCCCGGTGAAGACGCTATTCCCTGTAAAGACGCGCTCTGCGGACAGGCAGCACTTCCGAAGACGCTATTCCCTGTGAAGACGCTACTCCCGGTGAAGACGCTATTTCTCGTGAAGACGCGATTCCTGGTGGAGACGTTATTCCCGGTGAAGACGCTATTCCCGGTGAAGACGCTATTCCCTGTGAAGACGCCAGTCCGGGTGAAAACGCTGTCCCGGGTGAAGACGCTATGCCCGGTGAAGACTCGGAGTATGCCCGGTGCAGACGCTATTCTTGGTGAAGACGCTATTCCGGGTGAGGACGCTATTCCCGGTGAAGACGCTATTTTTTGTGAAGACGCTATTCCCGGTGAAGACGCTATGCCCAGTGAAGACTTTATTCCCAGTGAAGACGCTATTCCCGGTGAAGACGCTATATTCCGGGTGAAGACGCTACTCCGGGTTCAGAGGCTATACCTGTGAAGGCGCTACTTTGGGTGAAGACACTATTCCCGTTGAAGACGCTATTCCGGGTGAAGACGCTATTCCCGGTGAAGACGCTAATCCCGGTGAAGACGCTATTCTGTGTGAAGACGCTGTTCCCGGTGAAGACGCTACTCCCTGACGCTATTCCGGGTGAAGACGCTACTCCTGGTGAAGATGTTTCTACTCTTCACTAGGCCCAGTAGTCAACACGCTCCCCTCTCAATTGTAATTAGAAAGTGCAATTTTGCTGTACGTTTTCCGTGTCCAACACAACACGTGCCCCATCCGTTGTGCGACACCCTCTGCTAGGCAAGACCCTTCCCCAGGTTGATTAAAAAAGAACCCTTGGTGCTAGATGTGCCCCATCTGCTGTGCAACACCCTCTGCTGGGCAATACCCCTCCAGGAGAACCCCTCCCCAAGTTGTCAAAAAATAATCCTTGGTGCTAGACGCGCCCCATTTGCTGCGCGGCACCCTCTGCTAGGCAGGGCCCCATATCCATGTTGATTTAAGAATTCTTGGTGTCAGGCGTGCCCCATCTGCTGCGCGGCACCCTGTACTAGGCAAGATCCCTCCCCAATTTGATTAAATCAGAATCCTTAGTGCTAGACGTGCCCCTCTGCTGTGCGACGCCCTCTGCCAGGCCCAAGTTGATAACAAAGAATCGAATCCTTGGTGCTTGATGTGCCCCATGTGCTGTGCGGCACCTTCTTCTAGGCAAGACCCCTCCTCAACTTGATTTTTGTTCTAAACAACAATCCTTGGTGCTAGACGTGCCCCATCTGCAATGTGGCACCCTCTGCTAAACAATGGCCGTCCCCAAGCTGATTAGACAAGAATCCTCGGTGCTAGACGTGTCCCATCTGGTGTGCGGCACCCTCTTCTAGGCAAGAACCCTCCCCAAGTTGATATGAAAAGAATCCTTGGTGCTGGGCATGCCCAATCTGCTGTGCGGCACCTTCTGCTAAGCAAAGACCCCTCCCCAAGTTGATTAAAACAGAATCCTTGGTGCTAGACGTGCCCCATCTGATATGTGGCACCCTCTGCTAGGTAAGACCCGTCCCCAAGTTGATTAAAACAAGAATCATTGGTGCAAGACGTGCCCCATCTGCTGTGTGGCACCCTTTGTTGAGCAATGGCTTCCCCAAGTTGATCAGACAAAAATCCTTACTGCTAGGCGTGCCCCATCAGTTGTGCGGCACCTTCTGCTAGGCAAGACCCCTCCCCAACATGATTACACAATAATCCTTGGTGCTAGATGTGACCCCATCTGCTGTGCGGCACCCTCTCCAAGGTGAGCCCCTTTGCTGTGTTGCACCTTCTGCTAGGCAAGCCCCCTTCCAAAGCTTATTCAAACAGAATCCCTGGTGCTAGACATGCACTGTTGCTGTGCGGCACCCTTTGCTAGGCAAGAGTCCTCCTTCCCAAAGTTAAATTACAACAAAATAATCCTTACTGCTAGGCGTGCCCCATCTGTTGTGCGGCACCTTCTGCTAGGCAAGACCCCTCCCCAAGTTGATTACACAAGAATCCTTGATGCTAGATGTGCCCCTTTGCCGTGCGGCACCCTCTCCAAGGTGAGCCCCTTTGCTGCGCGGTACCTTTTGCTAGGCAAGACCCCTCCCCAAGTTGATGATAACAAAATCCCTGGTGCTAGACATGCCCTTTTGCTGCGCGGCACCCAATGCTAGGCGAGACCCCTCGCCAAGTCGATCAAAGCAGAATCCTCGGTGCTAAACATGCCCTTTTGCTGTGCGGCACCTTCTGATAGGCAAGAGCCCTCCCCAAGTTGATTAAACAATAATCCTTGGTGCTAGACGTGCCCCACCTGCTGCGCGGCACCTTATTGCTAGGCAGGACCCCTCCCCAAGTTGATTACAAAGAATCCTTGGTCCTAGACGTGCCCCGTATGTTGTGCGGCACCCTGTGTTATGCACTGCCCACCGGTTGGGCGCTTAAGAAGCACCACGGTCGCACGCAGCCAGCCTAGCTGTGCCGCTGGACGATGAGGCCGAGGCGAAATAGAAGCGTCAAGCCCAATAGAGGCTTCACGAGCTTCATCGGGCGTCGGGTGAATACAGGCTTCAGGCCGAATAGAGGCTTCACGAGCCTCACCCGGCGTCAGGGGAATAGAGGCGTCAGGCCGAATAGAGGCTTCAGGAGCTTCAATGGGCGTCAGGGGAAGAGAGGCTGCAGGCAGAATGTGAGCTTCAAGAGCTTCAATGGGCGTCAGTGGAATAAAAGGCTTCAGGCCGAATACAGGCTTCACGAGCTTCAATGGGCGTCAGGGGAATAGAGGCTTCAGTCCGAGCAAAGGCTCCACGAGCTTCAGTGGGCGTCAGGGGAATAGAGGCTTCAGGCCGAGTAGAGGCTTCACGAGCTTCACCGGGCGTCAGGGGAATAGAGGCTTCAGGCCGAATACAGGCTTCACGAGCTTGACCGGGCGTCAGGGGAATAGAAGCTTCAGGCCGGATAGAGGCTTTACGAGCTTCACCCGGCGTCAGGGAAATAGAGGCGTCAGGCCGAATTGAGGCTTCACGAACTTCAATGGGCGTCAGGGGAAGAGGGGCTGCAGGCCGACTGGGGGCTTCAAGAGCTTCAATGGGCGTCGGGGAATAGAGGCTTCAGGCCGAATAGAGGCTCCACGAACTTCAGTGGGCGTCAGGGGAATAGAGGCTTCAGGCCGAATACAGGCTTCACGAGCTTCAATAGGCGTCAGGGGAATACAGGCTTCAGGCCGAGCAGAGGCTCCACGAGCTTCACCCGGCGTCAGGGGAATAGAGGCTTCAGGCCGAGTAGAGGCTTCACGAGCTTCAATGGGCGCCAGGGGAATAGAGGCTTCAGGCCGAGCAGAGGCTCCACGAGCTTCAATGGGCGTCAGGGATATAGAGGTGTCAGGCCGAATAGAGGCTCCACGAGGTTCAAGTGGGCGCCATGGGAATAAAGAGGCTTCAGGCCGAATAAAGGTTTCACTCAGTTCAATGGGGGCCAGGGGAATAGAGGTTTCAGGCAGAATAGAGGCGTCTAGGGTCGCCACCCCGCCAGTGCGTCGCCCCTTGTGGGCCGGATACAGGCGTCACGGGCCGAATGCAGGCTTCAGGCCGAATAGAGGTTCCAGGTCGGATAGAGGTTTCGCGAGCTTCAATGGGCGTCGAGGGAATACAGGCTTCAGGCCGAATAGAGGCGTCACGGGCTCCACCAGGCGTCAGCGGAATAGAGGCGTTACCGCAGTTCCTTGGGCGAGTAGAGTCTTCAAATAGCGTCTCCGGCGCCGGCTCCAACGGGCCCCCCCCCAGCCAGGCACCTGTATATATATATATATATATGTATTTATATATATGCATATCTATATATACACATATAGACATGTATACACATACGCATGCATGAACACACAAGTATTAATACCATCGGCCCCCGTGGCTCAGCAGGAAGGCTGGGCCCCGAACGGCCTGGGTACTCCCGCGACGGCCCCGCATGGTCCCAGAGGGTCTCAGAATGCCCCGGGAGTGCCCGAAGGGGCTTCCAATTCGGCCAAGTCGCGCCAAAGATGGCGCAGCATGGGCTTTATAAATTTGGTAGACGGCCCAACGGGCTCCGGAGGCGGCCCATGGGCCTGCCGAAAGGGTTCGCAAGAAGCCCCCGGGTGGCAAACACAATCGATTACCAGTTGGAGCGCGTACGATTTTTGCAGACTCGCTTGTTTGGTATTCGGAGCGCCCAAAACGGCCCGAAAGACTCCCAAGATCGCCCTAAAAAGGCCCCGAAGGCGCCCAAGAGAGTCGTTATAATAGTTTAGAACGACCCAGGAAGGCCCAAGACTGCACAATATGACCCCCAGGCGACCCACGGGCCCCAGACTGGCTCCACGCAAGAGCCATAAGGGCGGCCCAAAACAGCCCCAATACACCCCCAAGACGGCTTTGGAAGCCCAAAGACAGCCACGAAGGGTTTCAAGACGACCCGACAGGCCCCGAAGACGGCCCGAGAACGCCCCCTACAGAACCCCAACAGGGGCACATTGGCAACGCTTGATTAGTGCAGCGACGGTCAAATAACCGACTTATCGTTACGGGTACAGATACGATTCAAATTTGTTGCGGGGTCGATCTGAAGTGACGTTGAGGCACCGTCGTTGTAGCTTTGGGCTCAAAGGGCATGTGGCAGAGGGGCCTCGATTTTACTGCGGGCGGAGTCCTAGCCTACCTAGCCCGCTGCCCACGACAACCCGCCTGTCCTGCGATCCTTGCGTGTCCAGTGTATAACTTGCATTGCGGCGCGGTGCCGCCTTGCCCACCCTGCCTTGGCTGCGTGGGTTCCTCAGAGATGGGCCTCCTCTGCAGAACTGCGAAATCCCCAAGACCCGAGAGAGTTGAATGTAGTATTCAACTCCCCCTTTCAACTCCCGAAGCGTGAAACACGTTAGTTCTTCAAGTCGAAAGTAAGGCGCCCCGTCGGTGATGGATCCAGAATGTATCTGCCAGAGGTTATCTTGAAGCCATCTCGGCGTCCCCCGAAGTTGTCCTTATTCAAACATGTGGGAGGAGTAGATGTCGGATGAGGTGCAGGCGGGCAGTTTGCCACGACCGACATTACCTCGCCCGTGTGGAGGCCCACCCATCAAGTTGACCACCCCAATTTGGAAGCGAAGCGCGGATCGCACTTGTTTACTCTCCGCCCTATTCTCTGCCCCCTCTATCTACCTCTTGGCCCCTGGTCCTCCCTCCCTGTCTCTCCTGCCTATATCATCGTCCCACTCGTCGTCTGCTTTGGCGCTCTCTGACTGTGCCCCTCTTCCTGAGAACGGTGCCGAGACCGATGCTGTTTGTTGCGCATCTTGAGTCTTTTCATTGTAGTGTGCCGTTCTCGCCGCACGTGCGGTTCAGATCAGGATTCGTGCAGCGTGGACCCCAAACAGATGAGTTAAGGTGGTTCGGTGCGCAAGGCGTCGCCACTAGAACGCGCAATTGCGCAACATGTCGAAAGCACTGTTTGGGGAACATGGCCTTATCCAGAGACCCCCACCATCACCACCATTAAAACAAGCCCACAAGTGGCCGTCACTACCCCAAACCATTATCCCCCAACCAAAACCCCGCGTAGATAGGAAACCTATAGCCATCACTGCGCATCATCCCCCAAAACATCGCCATCAGCATCGTGATAGCCATTTTGGCCAAGTTGTTTCTCTCAGAATGAGAGCATCGATGATGCAATCAGCTTCCATATTCGCGGTGGGTGCCACCGCCGCCTTCCACATCGTTCGTGCCTCTGGCTTGCGGGTGCCCGTGGTCGAGGCTTTCCACGTTGAGGCTGGCATGGAGCACCTGAGCGACATGCTGGCCGACATCGGGACCATCGACGATTCGAGCGATGGCGGCGAGGTGGCTCCACGGACACCAGTTCATGTGGCAGCCCAGCAGGTTCCATCGCCGCCAGGGCCGATTGAGCAGCAGGTTCCTTTGTCGCCAGGGTCAGTTGAGCAGCAGGTTCCATCGTCGCGAGGGCCAGTTGAGCAGCCAGTTCTACCAGGGCCAGTTGAGCAGCAGGTTCCATTGCGTCCAGGGCCAGTTGAGCAGCAGGTTCCGCCAGGGCCAGTTGAGCTGTGCGACGTGCTAGCGCTCGGGGTCATCGAGATCGACGACTCGCCTCCAGAGAAGTCGAAGCACTCGCAGCGGTCTCATGCTCACGCAGCGCAGGCTCGGGAGGGCAAGGCCAAAAAACACGCGCAGAAGCTGGGGGGCCAGCTGGCGAAGCAGAAAGCGGAACACGATATGAAGCTCAAGAGCGTGGCGTTGGTTCCGGGTGTATCACAGCTCATTGGGAACAAGTCGTCGACGACGCTCGGGAAGCTCAAGCGACACTTGACCAGCGACGACTTCGTGATTGCATCGAGGGCGTGCTTTTTACCTTCCAAGAAGCAGTGCGCCATTGGAGTGGACCATCGTCGCTTGATGAAGGCTGCTTGCGACATCGCGGTCACCAGACAACTGCAAGGTTTCAGGGACAGTCTCAAGAGAAGCCGTGATTCTATTACAGATGCCGATACTCGCGATCACCGTTTCGTACACCTGGGTTTCGGACATCTATGGGATGAAGTTGAAGTGCGACAAGCATGGAAGCCTGGGAAGCGCTACCGCGTCATGAGAAAGAACGTGGCGCAGCCAACGCTCATCCAGAGATCGACGGCGCAGTTCACGCTCCTCAACAGAAAGTCGGACATCCAAGGCCACTTCATCGAGTACATGATCGCAAAGCCGTTCGAGCTGCAAGGCCAGAAGGCGAAGCACATTTACCCTGGGCTGTTGAAGGCCATTCCAGACGAGCTCAACATCGTGAAGTGGTCGGAGGGCAGCGCACCAGCTTCGTCTGCTGTATCTACGTTCACGTTCCAGCCCATGGCAGACAGAGCCAGCGCCAACCTCAGCATCCTCAAAATGTGGGGTCAGTGTGCTGAGGACATCCTGAAGGAGCGCAAAGAATCGACTACTTGTTTTTTTTGGCCAGATACGTGTGGCATACACGCGCGCCACAGGGGGAAGCTGAAGCTCAAGGCCGTCAAGATGCATACGATGAGACATTTCTCCATCGCCAGTGCCAACAGGTACCGCACCCAGCTCGAGCGGAACATCATGGGAGTTGAGCTCTTGGTCGAGAGCAACGTCGATTGCATCATGCAGCCGCCCCCTGAGGATGTCGAGTACACGTTCCAGCTCGTGGTTGATGTTCTGTTTGACTTGTCGGCTGACTTTCACCTGCGGAAGGGCGGCGCAGATGACTCCCAGTTCATCAAGGACCTGAAAGCGTTGATGCCTTTGCTGAATGGCGACATGCGTGGCGAGAGGATCAAGCACTACTGCCGTCATCCTCAGACTGGTCGCCCGTGTTGCAACGGCAAGTCCGACACGATCGACAAACTGTGCACAGGACTGGTTCATGCTTTATTCGGGTCGTCGGACCCTCGGCCTTGTGAAAGTCGCTGGACAAATGTGTTGATGAATATGAAGAGGACTCTCTTGCGGCGTTTGGTCTACAAGATAGGGATCGACAGCTTCGTCGGACATCCAGACGCTCGGGGTGTTGTTGATGCTGACGAAGAGGAGGTGCCCCTACTCCGAGAAGTTGATGGCATGTCAGATGCGGATTACTGGAAGCATGTGTTCAATGTGAGGGCGAAGAAGATCAAGGCCTACTACGGTGATGAGCGAAATTTCTGGGAACTCATGGTGTTCGTGGGGATATTTGAAGCGTGCGATTCTACGCTATTGTACCCCCTGCTCGGCGATCCGATTGTCAACAGCAAGAGGGACGACCAGCGGTCGAAGATGGATATTCTACTGGACAAGGGCGACACCGCCATAGGCAAGTTCAGCCAGAAGATGCTCGATTTGGCAGACTCGTGGATGGGCCTGCCCACGCGGAAGCCCTGGTGCCTTCTCGACATGCTGGGGGCGCCTTTGACAGATCAGACTTTCTCGCGGTTTGCACGTTCTCAGCTTCTCAAACTCAACAGCGTGATGCTCAGGAGGTACGAATCCAGGTTCTCGGCTTACCCTTATCGCTTGTACCCGTTGGCCAGCAGCACGGCGTCGCTCGAGGAAGCGCAGAGGATTGCTCACGATGCCATCAACGCGCCGTGGCACATGAAGGACTCCTACACCAAGGGCATCACCAGCCATTTCAACACCGTGGGGAAGATGCTCTCCAGCGAATGCATCGCAGTGCTCTTTGCAGATTTCCGCCAGCATGCGTACGGGACCGACTTCATCGAGCGACTCAACAGCGAGTACACGGCGAAGATCCCAGTTCGAGCTCAAGGTCGTAGCAGTTCAAACGCTCAGCGAGAACATCTCCTACAGCAGCTCTGCACAGTTCATCGTGGGCATGGCGGGCTCCATCCACTAAAGACAGGGTGCCTCAGCAATGACGTCAAGGAGGAGATCGTGATGGCATCGCCTCTGCTGGAAGATTCACTCAAGCGACATTCTAACTGGCTTAGGGGTGAACGACGGCATGGAGATCTAACTGCGCTTGAAGATGGTGACCCTGACCATCAACCTGCCCAAGCTGACGATCAGGAGTTGGCCATTTGTCTTGCTCAGGAGCCGTCTGCATACTTCGAGGGGTTGCATGATGACTGGGGTTGTGAAGTGCTTGCGCGGAGGCCGAACCCATCGAGCTTATCTCGTGGCAAGGAGGTGCCAGCGTCACCGACTAAGGATGAGGCACCTCGCAAGGGGCTCAGCGCGTACATGCTCGAGAAGAACAAGTACATGAAGGCGATCAAAGCCGTGGTAGGGCGCAGGCTCACCAGGGACGAGACCACCAGTCATGCGGAGACGTTCAAGCATATGGTCGCCGACTGCAACCAGGATGCTCTCAAGGATGCGTACGACCTTTGGAGACAAAGCCCCAGCGAGAACAAGGCCCTGGAAGTGCCGACCTACAGACCTATCTGGGGTGGTGGATGCAACGCGCTGCCCATCACGGGTGATGAGTTCTGCAATTACATCACCGCTAACGGCTGGCCGTCCTACCAGGAGGTGTTCGACGATTCGCTTGAGGAAAGGATGGCCCAGGTCGACGAGTCTATCGATTTCGAGCTCTTCAAGAACGTCGACCTGTGGGGAGTCCCAAGGGGGGCCAGGAATGTCGACCGCGCGGCTTCGAGGGCACCCCACGCGTTCGAGTTCGTGGAGAAGGGGATCATGAGCTACATGACGTACATCGGCACGCAGAAGGCGGAGGAGGGCGACACCATGCTCATGGTCGAAGGCCCTGGCGTTCGTGGTGGTCGTTGGAGGTGTGCCGTCATTGTGAGCGACATCACGTGGAACCCAAGAGTTTTCGACATCACCTGGAACAACTGGGTCATCGAGAGCAACGAGAGGTCCGAGGACGTGGGCTCGAGCGAACGCACGGCCCCCGTAAAGGTTTCGGGGGCGAGGGTAAGGCTAAGAACGTCCAGGGTATACGAGGCCCACGCACGAGGCCGATCGTCCTTCGAACGCCCGATCCCTCACCCTCTGTTCCAGTGTCAAAACATTGTTTTGGGCCAGGTTTTGTTTGAAGATGGGGAGGTGTTCTCATCAATCCTAGCCTTACCCTTCGCCCCCCGAAGGACTTGGTGCTGCCTTGCTGGGTGGGGATCGCCGATCGCAGCAACAAGGTGTCGGAGCGCTTCAAGGCTATCGATTCCATGACGTCGGACGTGTGGATCGACAAGCTAGTGACTGAGCTCGAGAGCATGACGGTCTACGAGGCAGAGTACGAGATCGACCATGCGTGGGGCAGTCTGCGCTTATCCAAGATTGTTGGCCTCAAGAGGTTGGGCATTCTCTGGGAGCCATCGATGACGAAACCTTTGAGCTTCGCAGCAGCCACGGTCGACGCCGACAAGGTGGTCAAGGACACCATCATCGCTTCCGACCCCTTCAGCGAGGGCGCGCTCGTGGCCCGAGGTCGCGGTCGTGGTCGCTGCGCGAGCCGAGGCTCTAGCCGAGGCGGTCGCCGAGGCAAGGGCAGTCGAGGCAGGGGCAGGGAGAGTGGCATCGCAGCAGTTGGCGCCATTGCCGATGCTGATGACCCCAGCGCCGCTCCACCAGAGGTGCGCGCAGACGGCGTGCCTGACGATGATGGCCGCGAGCCTGCAGGTGGAGGTCACGAGGTGGAGCGCGAGATGGATCTTGCAGATGACTTGGAGTCCGTGACGTCCGTGGAGGAGATGGAGGATGCGTTCTCCGAGATGCCAGCCCAGTTGGAGGCGCCAGTCATGCCGCCGCCAGCCGATGACTATCGAGAAGTCAAGCAGCCAGAGCCTGACGACGAGGGCGACGCCGACTTCATCGGGATGGCTGCTGAGCACGTGAGCGAGGCGGCTGCTGAGCCCGACGCTGCTGCTCCTCCGAAGCTCGACGGCGGCGAAGGCGAGACACCACCTCACGACGACGCGGACGCGTCGGAGTCGAAGCCGCGGCAGGAGTTCTCGCCGAAGACGCCACAGGACTACTACTACCTCGGCGGCCGCCAGGTGTGCCGCATCCAGCGCGGCAAGCCGAAGAACTCTATCACGATCACGTGCTACTTCCACAGTGGTTGCTCGCTGTGCGTGACTGAGCGCCTCGGCCCGAAGACAGACGAGGAGGTGTTCAGGTGGCTGCACAGCGTGCCTGAGACGCCCGCGGGCGCAGACGCGGCCAAGCGCAAGGAGCTGTCTGCTGCGCATCGGGCCCTGGGCAAGGGCCAGTGGGCGGCGAAGCGCCCCGCCAGGTAGGGCAGCCTCGCCCCACTCTCCATCACCACTCAGAGGATCCCGAGGCATCTTGCATTCATCCCCATCTCACCTTCACCGTGACATCCACTTCACTCCCCTCCCCCATCCCCCCTGACCCTGGGAGGGGGAGGGGTCGGGGATAGGGGGCAACGCCTTAGTACCCACCCCCCACCTTACAACCGCGCTCCCCGCTCGCCAATTTCCTTCCTGCTCAACTCCCTTCTCTTCTGGGACCAACGCACACCGCTCGTCCTTCCCCGTCTCCGCCCGTCCTTGGTGGCTGGCGCGGTGCGTGTGCTCGAGGCCCCCTTGCCTTTGGGCACTCGAGCGAAACTGTGGCGTTCCGCCTCATCGTCAGAAACGCGGCATCTTGTTTTAAGAGAGGTTGGAGGATCGATGTTTGGGTTGACAATGTGATTTCCAAAACATGTGGTGTGGCATGTTGATTTTTTTCAGAGGTCGGTTGAGAACATCTGGATGGGGCGGCGGTGGCAACAACCACAAGGCATACTAGAGCTAGATGGGATAGGATGACGCAGGTAAGAGGAAGAGGAGAGGAGAGGAGAGGAGAGGAGAGGAGAGGAGTTGAGAGGAGGAAGAGGAGGAAGAGGAGAAGAGAGGGAGAGGTAAAAGTAGAGGAAGAGGAGAGGAGAGGAGAGGAGAGGGGGAGCAGGAAAGGAGGAGAGGAGAGGAGGACAGAACAGGAGAGAAGGACAGGACACGAAACCAAACGGGAGGGAGGAGATGGTGGAGGGGGCAGGGAAGAAGGAGGAAGAGGAGGAGGAACCAGGATGATGGAGGATCCGCCGCCCTCTGCCGCCCCCCCCTTGCCGCCCCGACCTCAACAACTTCGAGGCCCCCGCAGCGCGCTTGCTCCGCGAGCGTGCTGGCGAGAGGAGGGGGAGGAAGGGAAAGGACGAGGAGAGAGATGAGGGTCGTAATCGTAGTCCGTCGTCGTCTCTGTCATCGCCGTCGTAGACGTCGTAGTCGTAGTCGTAGTCGTGGTAGTCGTCGTTGTCGTCCTCGTAGTCGCAGCCGTCGTCGTAGTAGCTGCCGTAGTCGTAGTCGTGGTAATAAGACAGGCAGCAGCAGCATATCAGAAACAGCAGCAGCAGCAACAACAATAGTAGCATTCGTAGTGGCAGCAGTAGTGGTACACGTATACGTATACGTAGAAGTAGAAGAATAAGTAGAAGTGGAAATATGATTAACAGTAGTAGTAACAGAGCAGCAGTAGTAGTAGTAGTAGTAGTAGTAGTGGTAGTAGTAGTAGTAGTAGTAACAATAGCCGTAACAGTAGACGCAACACTGACAATTGCAAGATCAGCAACAGTAACACTAGTAGTAGCAGGAGTGCATGCCGGAATCATCAGTCGCAGTTGTAGCAGCCATAGTAGCAGTAGTAATAACAGCAGGGGTAACAATAGCAGCAGTAGTATTAGTATTAGTCAGGATCAGCAGCATCAACCATTCAAATCGTAGTACTTCTGTAGCAGTACAGGTGCCATCATGACAGGTAGTGCAGGGGTCTAGTTTACAGAGTGCGCTTACGTATTTGTAAACATGTACTTGTGCAAAGCAGAAGTAAAGATATCAGCTTCAATGCATCATGGGTAGTGGCAGTAGTAGCAGTAACATTATACAGTATCAGTAGCAGTGTTAGCAGTGGTAGTAGTATTCGTAGTAGTAGCAGTAACGGTAATAGTAGTAGCCGCAGCAGCGGCACTCGCATTACTGGTAGCATTCGTAGTAATAGTGCATAGTGTAGCCGCAGCGCTAGCATTAGTAATCGAAGTGGTAACAGCAGAAGGATAATTAATACGAGTAGTAGTAGTAGTAGTCGTAGCAGTAGTAGTAGTAGTAGCAGCAGTAGTAGTAGTAGTAGTAGTAGTAGCAGTATGAGTAGTATGAGTACCCGTACAAATAGTAGTAGTGGTAGTCGGGGTAGTAGCAGTAACAGCAGCAGTAGTAGTAGTAGTAGTAGTAGTGGTAGTAGTGGTAATAGTCGTAGTAGTAGTAGTAGTAGTAGTAGTAGTAGTAGTAGTAATAGTAGTAGTAGTAGTAGTAGTAGTAGTAGTAGTAGTAGTAGTAGTAGTAGTAGTAGTACATAACCGTAGTAGCAGTAGTAGCCGTAGTAGTAGTAGTAGTAGTAGTAGTAGGAGTAGGAGTAGCGGTACTACTAGTAGTAGTCGTAGTAGTAGTAACAGTAGTAGTAGTAGTAGTAGTAGTAGTAGTAGTAGTAATAGTCATAGTAATAGTAGTAGTAGTAGCAATAATACGTTTGGTAATGGCGGTGGTGGTGGTTGTAGCCGTAATAATTGCAGTAGCAGTAGCAATAGTCGGAATACCAGTCGCACCAGTAGTAGTAACAGCGGCAGCGGTAGTAGTAGAGGTAACCCTTGTAGCAACCGTGAGCATGACTACTACCCGCCTTTCTTGGTGGCGTAGGTAGTCGCAGTAACACCCGTCGCCGAACTAGTCGCATACATTGTAGCAGTACGAGCAGCCGCACCAGTAGCATCAACCATAGCAACAGTGGTCGTAACAGCATTAGCAATAGTAGTAGGAGCAAACTGAAGCGCAGTAGCTGTAGTAGCAGTAGTAGCTGTAGTAGTAGCAGTAATAGCGGTAGTAGTTAGCAGTTGTGGTAGTAGTAGTAGTAGTGGAGTGGTAGTACCAGTAGCAGCACAGTAGAAGAAGCAGCCGCCGTCGGTGTAGTAGTAGTAAGAGCAGTAGTAGTCATAGTATTCGTCGTAGTAGTAATAGCAGTCGTTGTTGTAGTTGTGGGTGTAGTTGTGGTATCATTAACAGTAGTCATATCATACTACTCGTGGTACCACGTATTGTTGTTACTGCAACTGCTACTAACACGGCTACCCCTAACACTACTACTCGTACTACTACTACTACTACTACTACTACTACTACTACTACTATTACTACTACTACGACTACTACTACTACTACTACTACTACTACTACTACTACCACTACCACTACTACCACTACCACTACCACTGCTACTACTACTACTACTACTACTACTACGACTACTACTACTGCTGTTACTGTTACTGCTACTACTACTACTACTACAACAACTACTACTACCATTACTAATACAACTACTACTACTACTACTACTACTACTACTACCACTACTACTACTACTACTACTACTACTACTACTACCACTACTACTAGTACTACTACTACTACTACTACTACTACTACTACTACTACTACTGTGGCTGCAACGATTACGTTCACGGTTACTTCGTTTACTAGCGCGGTTACTTCTATGGCTGCTGCTACTCCCACTACGACCTCTTACTGTTACTTCCATGTGTGCTTCTACGTATACTTGTACTTCTTCCACCAATTGTACCACTTCTGGCACGACTACTACGATTCATTCTACTATTCCTTTTAGCGCTCGTGCTGCTACATCTGCAGCTACTGCTGTTACCGCCGCAACTGATGTGAGTGGTGCTTCTGCAACTGATGCCACTACTTCAGCTACTGCCACTATAACGGCCCACTGGTGCGAGTGCCACACCTACTGCTACGCAGACTGCGACTATCACCTTTGTTGCTGGTACTGCGGTTCCTGTCACACCTGCTACTTCTTCTGCATCAACTGCGCCCGTCGGAATACAAAGTGTGGATCAATTGCAGCAGCTCCCCTGTGTTACTGCCATTACTGTCGCGACTGCGACTGCTACCCCGACTACGTCTACAACTGGTACATGCGACTACTTATGTCATGTTTTTGACTACGACGGCTCCTATTTCTCCTGCTGCTAGTTTGGCTACACCAATCAATCCCACTATTACTGCAACTGCTACTACTACTAGTGTCATTACTACTACTACCAATGCTCCTACTTCCAACTCTACTGCTACCACTGCTACTACGACTGTCCCACACGACGACGTCTCATACTTCCGCTACTACTACTACTACCATTACTTGTTCTTCTTCTACACATATTGGTTCCACACCTGCTGCTGCCACTACTACGAGTCGGGCGAGGACGGCTGCTGCTGTTGCTACCACTACTACTAGTAGGACGACGACGGCTGCTGCTGCTACGACTACTACTACTACTACTACTACTACTACTACTACTACTATTACTACTACTACTTCTTACTACTACTACTACTACTACTACTACTACTGCTACTATGCGTTGGCGACGACCACTACTACTCCCGCGCCTACTGCTACAACGGCGACGGCGGCTAGTGCTATAATAGAACCGTTGCTGCCGCGACTATAAAACCCACTCCTAATAGGAAGGCTACTGCTGATGAGACTATTACTAATCGTGTTGCTCCTTCTGCTGCTGCGGCTTGCTGCTTCTACTACGCTGCAACGGCTGCTACTGGTACCGCTGCTGCTGATACGACTGCTGTCGCGAGTGCCTCCGCTACAACTACGACTGGTGCCGACAAGGCAACGCACCGTAAACATATGGTCTTGTTGGCCCCAAATTACACCGATGAGTGCTGTTACTGTTGCTAGCGAGCGGCCTGCGCGGAGCGCTGTTGGCGCAAACGTTGGGGACCCTGCCGCGGTGCGCAAATCTAATATCAGCAGCTGGAGCGGCTGCCACTCGCGGTTGTATTAGTCGGGCAAGCCGCCCAGGGTGCACGCGCTGCTTCAACGGGTGCGGATGGCGCCAGTGCTGGTCCGACGTAGGCGGCAGGCGCGTGGCGCGCCCTTGTACTTCCGCCCTTGTGTGCCAGCGCCTGTTCGCGGCCGATGGGAACGCCATGGGTCGCGGTTGCTGGGCGAGCGCATAGCCTAGCATGGCTCACGAGCGGCCCTGCACTTACATCTTGTGTCGTAGGCGCTGTCATGCTCGTCTTTGGCTTCGCGGGGGGCTACCCGAGCGAATGACAGGCTTGTCCGACTAGGCAAAAGACCTGGTGCTTCGATTGCCTAGGCGCTTGGTCGCACCACGCCAGCGCGAACATCCATGGATATTGCTGTCCAAGCGGCTTCAAGGAGTTTGCGCAGGGCAAGGTGCCGCCCCGTGGCGCGAGCTTGAAGGGGCGGGGG